AGCACCATTATATTTTGAGAGTGAAGGATAAAAAACGGTGTCATATTTGAGATGCAGGGATCCAAACTCTCGTCGAATTGTGGGTGGAAGGATATTGTCAGGGTCTAGGAGTACCTGGCTTGAATAGGGTGGGGTGTTGATAGTCGGTTGAGGTTTCCCTGTGGAAGGATGTACCTCACTCCCTCTGGGTACTGGAGAAGTTACTTCTCTGATTTGACACAAATGTTCATTCTTCCTCAGGACCAGGGGGGAAGGAGATGTATTAGAAATCCTTACTGTACGACCGACGGACTCAATCTCCTGAACAGGAGGCCAGGCACTTTCAGACTTATGACATGAATTGAGAGGGCTATCAAGTCGTGGCTCAAGTGCCCATTTAGAGTCAGGAGTGACATCTCTTGGCATTTCCAGCTGAACATACTCTCCAGGTAGAAGAACTGTTGGCCTAGATGGGGCTCGTAGTAGGATCGCCTGAGTCCTTCTGATTGTCGCATCTCTCTCCTTTGGGGGTCCGTAATGGATCACTTCATTTCCAGAAATGACTATCTGGCGTTTGGCAGGTCTCGTTGATATGTCATTACGGGACATGAAAGGAATTCCAGCTATGATATCAACGTCAAGATCTTTCACGACTAAGGCATCCAAGGTGAAACTATGATCTCCCCTAGTAAGTTTGCAGTGCGTCTCCCCAATGACTTTAAGTGGTGTAATACCATCGGCTTGACGAGCTGACTGAGATGCAGGTTTGATCGGCGAGTGTATGGCTCGTGCCAACGAATCTGTCATCATATTTGTTGTGGCACCCGTGTCAAGTGTAAGCTTAACTGCATGTTGGTGGTAGTGAGCAAAAAGAACGGGAGATTGTATGACGTCTACTCTGTTGACGGAGGGGTGATCGAATAAAACATCCACATTGTGGACTTGAGCTTCCGGTTCATCGTCCAAGTATTGCAGGTCATCTGTGTCTTCACAAACTTCATTGACAAGGCGTGAAAGACCAAGACTCAGGCGGTCTGTTTCAGGTAGAAATCTGCATGTCTTAATGTTATGGGATGAGTAAGCAGAACGGTCGGCGGACTTGCAGAGTATGCAACTGGTCAGGGCCCGACGTTTGGTCTGGTTGCGAGACTGAGACTGAAACCTGTAGCTGTTGCCACTGGAAGATGAGCGAAGGACCTTTGTGTCTTCAATGGTACGGAGCTCATCTAGTAGTGACGAGAGTGCTTGTGAAATTTCAGGTTTGAGAGATGCTATGGTTTTATTTCGAAGCTCAGAACCATATTTTTGTTTCACTAGCTGAGGTAAGCCCGGATGGATTAGTTGGAGCCACTGGATAACAATAATGTTCTCAAGAGTTGGGGTTAAATCCTCATCGGTTGTAACCTGCTCACCATGGTGAGTAATACCACCATCAGATGACAGAAGGTTATCCTCAATGAAGGCCATCAGTCTTTGAAATAAATCCTCAGGCTTTTCTGCAGGTTTGAGAGAAATGCTTGCAAAGTCGAGAAAATGTGCACCTGTGGATTGGAATCCATAATGCTGTCGTATTTTCTGCCAGATATCGGGCAGAGACACGGAGCTTTTTATGATTGAGTTGCGGGAAATTATGGAGCAATAATTGGCAACTTGACCAAGCATAAGATCGAGTTGAGCGTTCTTCTGAGCAGCAGTTTTACGTCTAGCTTCGGCAACTCCCTCCCCATCGTCAGTGAGGCCTCTGAGAGGGTTATTTGATGTTTTTTTCTGCCACGTGAATCCCTCTGCCAAAAACGGTGCGAAGTTATTGTCAAGGGATAATATATATATGAGGTTCTGCCTCCAATTTTCAAATGAGTTAATAGTTTCATTTGTTGTGAGTTGCCATTGTTTTGGAGCTCGCTGTGTGGCCATTCTTACAGTAAGGGTTTGTGCGAGGATCAATATTTGATGCGATGTGCGATGAAAGGGAGGTAACTCCTGACAGACAAACTTACGCGGAGCGTAGCGAAGAAGCGAGCTGTATCATTCAGTTACAGCGTGATTAATGTCTGTTTACGTGTGTATATGAAGGTGAGCAGTGTTAAAGATGTTCGTTGTGTTGAACTCTTCTCTTCTTGTGTGGGTTAGACCGCGCTGCCACCACGCCAATAAAGACAAAACTGCTGCTTCGTTACACTTGGCGGAAGCCCAGACGTTTAATGGGGAAGCCAAAACACGGAATGGTTGATGTGAAACACTAACTTATAACAAACGAAATAAGAGTAATGGCGCTACATAAAATCAATCCTCGTTCAAAACTGACAGACATGTTGAAGAAAGCTCAATTCGTTCTCAGGAACACATCCACATACCCAAACATTACAATTGTCTTGGAATCAAACCAACAGGAAATCAAACTGTGACTAGCAGCAGAGCCATACCTGGTTTTACGGCACAAAAACACAACTTGCAGAATAGTTCACATATTCCAGCAAGGTACCCTCGTAATACACGGCACAAAAACACAACTTGCAGAATAGTTCACACATTCCAGCAAGGTGCCCTCGTAATACACGGCACAAAAACACAACTTGCAGAATAGTTCACACATTCCAGCAAGGTACCCTCGTAATACACGGCACAAAAACACAACTTGCAGAATAGTTCACACATTCCAGCAAGGTACCCTCGTAATACACGGCACAAAAACACAACTTGCAGAATAGTTCACACATTCCAGCAAGGTACCCTCGTAATATACGGCACAAAAACACAACTTGCAGAATAGTTCACACATTCCAGCAAGGTGCCCTCGTAATATACGGCACAAAAACACAACTTGCAGAATAGTTCACACATTCCAGCAAGGTACCCTCGTAATACACGGCACAAAAACACAACTTGCAGAATAGTACATGGTACAGAAACACACTTTGCAGAATAGTTAATTAACAACCATCTTCTTCTGTCTGTTCTGTCTGTGTGTGGAGCAAGGAGGTTGTGGATATTGTTAAACTTGTATAGTTCGGGCTCTGTCTGTGTAGCAGGGCGATTGTGGATGTGGTTAAACTTGTATACCTCGGGCTCTTTCTGTGTAGCAGGGCGATTGTGGATGTGGTTAAACTTGTATAGTTCGGGCTCTGTCTGTGAAGCAGGGCGATTGTGGATGTGGTGAAACATGCGTCACTTGAGATGTGCGGTGCCTCCTCTAATAGTAGACAATATACTTCTAGTCCCATTTTGTTTTCTTTCTTTTTATTGTTATGTAGGTCATAAATGAGTTTCTCATTTTTGTTAAGATCCCCCTTTTGGCTAATATTAATATATGCACGTCAAAGCATGATAACTGGCATGGTCATCCTAGGCTGGCGACATGTGGCTCACTTCTCTTGCTATTAATAATGTCATATCTCTACATATTCTCTGGACCCTAACGTTTGCTTCACATGCCATTGCATTTCTTACCAGAATAAACATTTTAATTCATTTTATGAAATCATTTTAATGTAATCTGCATTCTATGTTTTGATGAATTCTATTGGACCAAATACCTATTATTTTGGTGTTTTCAATATGACTGGCACTGTAAAATATTTGTGTCCATTTGAAAAACGTATGCGTTTAGGATGGAATAATTTACGTCCAGCAAGACCATGTTCGTAAAATGTTTTATGTAAGGGGTAAAGATGACGTCACTAAGAATCAAGAATCAAGAGCTACAACCAATTTAATTGAAATACGTATCAAAACATATATTGTGTATATAACAAGCTATTAAACAAAGGAAGCATGGTTAATGCATTTTATGTACACTCACAAAGAAATTAGGAATAAAACCAGTTTATGGTTCTACATCATCAAACCGACAGAGTTATGATTACCTTACTGTCCAGTTGACACACAGAGATGGTGTGTGTTACCACCATGACATATCGTTGCTAATGTTAAATACTCCAAACAAAGCGCATGTGTAATTGATATGAGTAATTTAAAGCAGGTTCAATTCTGACGCATTTTACGGTCAGCAGTACCCAAGCACACAAGTTATTTGCAAATGTGTCCGAAAGATAAATGCCTCATTAAAGGCGTTGGTGTAAGTTGGAATTATGCAAGTGTTACTAGAATATGTGTATTGAACAATATCTTAAATATAAAAAAGATAAATGGAGTTAATGTATGACCATTTGAAGGAGTTTAGTAGAATAACTTTTGGATAGGAATGGTGATAGCCTATTGTTTGTGCCTGTATAATATATGATAACCGCCTTTTCTGTCAATAAACATGTTTATTTCATGAGAGTTTATATTACGACTGAGGATGTAACATAACGTCCACATTTTCAGGTCATAATACAAAATAAGCGGCGTCATCTAGAGGCACCATCTACATGACATCTACCCTGCTAGGGCGTGGCGTCGTCATCTAGTGTGACTTCAACAATGGCCTTAGCATTACGCCAACAATAGTGTTAGCATTACGTCAACAATGATGTTAGCACTAATTCAACAACGGTGTTAGCATTAGGTTAACAATGATGTTACCACTGCGTCAACAATAGCCTTAACATTACTTCAACAAATGTGCTTCCTACAATGGTGTTAGCATCAAGTCAAAATCGGTGTTAACATTACGTCAACAATGATCTTAGCATTACTTCAACAATGGAGTTAGCATTACGTTAACAATAGTCTTAACATTACTTCAACAATGGTGCTGCCTACAATGGTCTTAGCATTACGTCAACAATTCAGTAGGGGTGGTATGACAAAGTGTCACATTGGCATGTATTTTTATATAAATCGCTTATGGATGATCACGTTTTAAAATGTATCATAATAAATAATTTCTCTTTTCCAGTGACGCACAGAAGGTAGAACTGTGGGCATTTTCGATGGACAGAGATTGACACGATTATGTAAACCTAACACATTCTTAATTTCTGACGATTGTCATGCTGAACTGATATCAAGGTTTCACCACTAAACCACCCATCTTCTATAAAGACACATACACAGTTGGCATCACCGGTGTTGAAGTCATGCTGAGAAGGGATCATGTGTTATTCCTCACCGCTGTGTTTGTGGGGACTGGACTCCTTGTCTTAACTACCCGGGAACCTGCGCAGTTCATGACCATCCTGGACACAGGCTATTCGAACTTCACTCATCATTTTTCTCTCCACCCAAAAGGTTCACAGGCCGAGTGCAAAAACGTTTTGGACGAAATGGTGAGAGGAACGTGGACACCGAGGAACGTGACGTTTGAAGAAAGACAGAAAGTTGAAAGATTCTTGATAGCTTCCAGAGGAAAATATTTCGTACCAACAACCTTGGCACGCCCCGATGGTGTTTGTGGAAATACAACTTTTGACTTTCTGAAAGGCCTACAACACCAGGCTCTGTGGTTCCGACCCCTGTGTGATCCGTTTGGTCCAACGCCATGTTGCTATAACAACAAGTGCGTGTATAAGACAGTGAAGGAATGTATGTGTGAGAGCTGTTTTGACATGCGCAGACCTATTAATGCTGAACTTGCTGATTGGAAACCATCAAACCCCAATTGTCAGATCTCAATGTTGAACAAAGACGAAGCGTGTGAACTAATTAAAGGGGCTACTATCTACTACATCGGGGACTCGTTCTTGAGGCAGATGTACACCGTGACTGTCCACATCCTCACTGGCAACTATAAGGACTCCACGCTAAAGTCTTCAACACCAAAAGGTTTGTTTGCTTGAATGTATCATGTTTCCGTTTTGTCCAATAAGTGTCCCCAAAGCTGTCACGCCTTGTCAATAAAACAAATTCCATTGTTCATGGTTGCCATAACTTCTGGCCTATGATACAATTACATGAACTGGGCCTGTGTTACTGCTGGTGGACAGAGTTCCCCGAGTTTTATCCTAAGCTCAGAAGGATTTATCACACGCACACGCACATGCCCGCCCGCACACACACAAGCACTGGGGACATTAGTACACAGGGTTAATAGTACACCAGGAGAGTTCACAGACAGACAGATTTTATATTTGAGTCTCACCTCACAAAAATATTTACATAGATACATTTAACAGTACATATAAGTGAGCCACCTGTCAAGGGTTACGAGAGACTTATATATCACAGTAGGTTATATAAAATATACTACCCGTCACTAGCCATATGAACTATTTTTTCTTCTTTGGAGGATTAAAAAGCAGGTTATGGCTGTAAAATATACATGATATTTAAAAAGTAAAACAAGTTTATCAGTATTACGTAACTTAGGAGGTTTGGATAGCTAAAACTCACCTTTTCGCATGAACATTCACGCATATCATCGTACACAGGGCAATCCAGCAATACATGACATTCATCCTCAATACTTTCCTTACACTGAAAACACACTCTTTCATTCACATTCATATTCGTATATCTGCCTGTTTCCAACTTTAGAGGAGCAACACCTGATGTAACTTTGGAGAAAGCAGAGCGGTAAGAACGAGGCATATGCATACTTACATAACTTTCACACCCATACACATCTTTCAACATTCTATACGTACGTAGTTTATTTCCCCCCGTTCTTCCGCCAGCCTTGCATAACAGTTCATTTCAATCAGACACATACTTTCCCATGCATATATCATGCACACGTACAACTACAGTTTTCACGCTAACATTCTCAGAAATATTCAGACCCGATTCGTTCAGCTTTGCCCCCACACGAAAGTTCCAGTTTTTCACGCGTCCACCCGCATACCGCTCGGACCACATAAAAACATACTTATTTAATCTAAAGGACATTTTAGTAAAACGACAATACTGTCAAACAATACACATCCACTGTCTAACTAACGGAGGAATCCATCCCATATCTCCAATAACAGCAACATTTGGCAATATATTTACCCAACCCTAAGAAAAGCTCGATGGTGAACGGCATTTACAGAAGTAATGTCACGATGACCCCAAGTAGATGCCCCATAACTCAAAACTTGCCAAACCATGGTATCATATAATGTGGAATACATAGTGGATTGCATACCTCCGATTGCCTTATATTTACATATAAGAAGACCGAATGCTCTGTTGGCCGATTCAGCTGCTGCTCTTGCCATAGCATTGTAGTCAAGATGTTCCGTGAGCAGTAGGCCTAGATAATTATAACAATCAACAATGTCTAAAACAGAGTTACCAATTTTTAAAAAAGCTGTTGTTCTTGGAACGTTTGCATTTCTAAAGTGTATAATCTTGGATGTGTCATCATTAATAAGGATACAATTGTCTACACACCAAGTATTCAAAACATGTAATATGCGATTCAAATCATCTGCCGATTCTGCAAGTAAAATAAGATCATCAGCATATGCTAAGGCCGCAATAGTAATATCATCAACACAAATACCAAACCAGTTAAATATGTTAAATAGTTTCTCCAATGCTGTTTGTGATTATAGTATGATGTGTTTCCCTACTATTGTTTTCGATTGCTTGTGGGGTTTTGCGCTTGGATGCAGAGCAGTTTAGACGCGTTTTCCTTGCTCTCGCGATTGAGAAGTTACGTGACGTAACTGGGCTAAATGGACTATCCAAGCCAACTGAACATATGGGGATCTCAGAGTCAGGTCAGCGTTGATTCGAATAATACTAGTAAGGTCAAGACATTGTTTGATCAGATGCGTCACCTGACGGGCATGGTACACTATGTACAGCAGAAAGTGCAGCGTGTAGACAATATTGATGATAAACTCACAATGATTGATGGAAAAATGACCTTGCTTGAAAATACCCCGAAGCAGACCATCACAAGGGTAGTTAAACTTGAGTTTTGTGTTCAGAATTGTGTCTCAGCAAGCCTAGAACTTAAATCTGAAAGTACTAAAGAACGAAATTGCTGACAGAGCATATAGACTACACTTCGTCGGAATGTGTTAGAATCGGGGGATATGGATAATGTATAGTACGATGTAGACTCCCTGTACCAACAACAGGGATATGAAAGAGGCTAACTAATTGATCAATCAATAGGAAACGCAGTTGATTTGATTATGTAGACTGTAATTGCAGGATATTTTAATATAGATATACTTCGAGAGCATAATCCAAAAATCGAATATTTGCAAATGGTGCATCGACTTTCACAAATTATTAGAGAACCTACGCGAATCACCTTACATTCCAGTACGTTGATGTGACAGACGACGGGACGCGGGGTTACTTCATCCAGTTTGTAGTGACCACTGTCCATTTTTTGTCGCCATCAAAGAAACAATTCCAAAATGTCATTATTTTACACGTAAAGGGTATTATTATTCCATAGCAGACCTAGATGCTAAATATTGATAGTGAATTATTATTCTCATCTGGGATTGTGAACACAATTACTGATGAACTGACACCTCGAATTATTAAAACCTATTTACTTGCCAAAATTATTCTGAGATTAGATCTGAAGGCTATTATTATGTTAATGGGTATGACCTTCGAATCGTCCCGTTTGGAAACGTCAGCCTAGACAAAGAAATACTGCTGAATATCGTTGACTCTGTACATCATTTCTTCTCTATGAGCAAAAGATTTGTCTAAACATGCACTCTTATTTATATCTCACCACCAGCTGTTTGCCTTCGATGTACCACATGTGACTTAATATCAAGTTTATCCTACTGTATAACATATATACTACTGCTGCTTGTTCAAACTTTATTGGGGAGAGATATATATATAGGCTCTGCCTGTTTATCAATCCCCTTTCACTGTACAAAGTGGAAATAAATATTGTTTACAAAAACAAAAAACCCACCTCGAATTATAAAAGTTTGTATTCCTAATAAAATTGTTACCATACGATCAAAGGTTCTACAGTGGATCAATAATGAAATACGTTCCTCAATAAGAAAACATAACAAAGCTAAAAAACGTAATACTCCAGCTGATTGGGCAAATTTTAGGTTGTTAAGAAATAAAGTAATCAACTATGTCCGTAAGGCAAAGAAAACATATGCATGTAAAATTGATACTGTAATAAACAGTTATTATTACATTTCTCTCTTCAATGAGCAATATTCCCATCACTATGGAAAGAAGCTCTTTTCATTCCTATTCAGAAGAAAATAGTGTGAATGAATGTACAAATTACATACCGTTTGCGTTCACAAGTTGTTTAGCAAAGATATTTGAAAAAAGTATATTCAAACATGTGTATAACTATTTAAGGAATGATAATGTGCTCACTAACCTACAAACTGGATTCATGCAGGGTGACTCCACCTTAAATCAGCTGACTTTATTGAAAGGGCATGAGATGAAGGTAAGGAAGTTAGAGCTGTATTTTGAGACAAAAGTAAAGCTTTTGATAAAATTGGGTACAAAGGAATAATTCATAAGCTACACCATTATGGTATCTGGGGATATTTATTGAAATGGTTTGATAGTTACTTAGAAAATCGATACCAAAAGGTAGTTATAAATGGCTATTGCTCAGATCAAAAAGCTGTCTTGGCCGGTGTGCCACAGGGCTCGGTCTTTGGGCCATTATTGTTTATGATCTATATGACTATGTTATTGTTGAAGGAATAATAGTAATATAAGACTTTTTGCTGATGACACATCTTTGTATGTGATCATGGAAGATCCCGATATAGATGCTCGTAATCTCAATAATGACTTGGACAGAATTTCAGAATGGGCTGCCAGATGGCAAGCTAAATTTATTCCCGAAAAAAACTGAATCTAATCAATTTACCCGTAAATTAAACCCTAGTTGCACACCTAAGTGATATATGAATGGCGCAGAAATCAAAGATGTACAAAGTCAGAAGCACCTAGGTATTACTTTACATACAAAGTTATTGTACATGGAAAATGCACATTGATGATATTGCAAGGAAATGTTGTCCCCTGGTTAATTGTTTAAGAAGTTATAAATATCGTCTATCCCGAACTAACTTAGAAACTATGTACAAATAATTAATTTACCATTTTTTTTAGTATTGTTGTCATATTTGGGACAACTGTACTAATGAACAAGTTAATTTATTGAAAAAAATACACTTAGAACCATATGTGGCGCTGTCCGGGGTACGAGTCATCAGAAGATTTACAATGAAACAAATTGTAAGTCATTAAAAGAAAGAAGATACAATTAACAATTGGTAATGTTTTACAAAATGAATAACCATTTCTCCCCGGAATATCTTTGTAGGCTTATTCATGATACAGTTTCGGAAAACACAAATTATAACTTAAGGGAAAAAACTAATCTTCAAACAGTGAAGTGTAAAACAAAGGCTTATGCAGATCTATTTATACCAGCTACAACACAACTTTGGAATACGTTACCAGAAAACCTAACGGGGGCAAAGACCGTTGCACAATTTCAGAATTTGCTTCACGTGAGGGGAGATAATGGTATACACCTGGGATTTAAATTATGGAAACAGACTATGTCAAATTATTCACAGTCGCCTCAGGCTTGGCTGCAGCGATCTAAACGAAGATCAGTATGATAGATATATCTTGGATACAAAAACTTGTTCCTGTGGATATCATATCGAAGATGCTTTACACTTCTTTTTTGTTTGTACAAATTTTTATGTTCTTCGAAATGAAATGTATTTTTACCAACATGGTTATTCTTTACAAACAGTGCTATGCGGAAATTCGTATTTGAGTAAGGAAGAGAAAATCCAAACATTACATTATATACAAAACTTCATATTAAAATCTTGCAGATTTTCAATTAAATTGATTGTTTAACATAAAATGCAAAAATATTTATTATATATACACATCAAGCTTGGCATGTACAGTTCATTTGTTACATCTAACCTTCTTTGATGTATTTATTGTGTCATGTCTTCTGTGTAATGGAGCGGTATTAACATAAGCGCTTCGCTTGTTTACCAATCCATTGTCACATTTTTGTGAAAATAAATATGTTTAAACCATCAAGCGCTTTGCTTGTTTACCAATCCATTTTCACATTTTTGTGAAAATAAATGTGTTGAAATTATACGAAAGAGGATGTGTACAGAGAGATTAACCTTGTGAGAGTTCATAGAATGGAACCGCGAAATGAAAACAGACCCCGTACGATAGTGGCTAAGTTCTCTGGCTCTGATGAGAGATGGAACGTTCTAATAAGGGCGAAGAATCTCAAGGACTCAAGTTTGGTGTCAGTGAACGGCCCCAGCTGAAATTGTTAAACGGCGACGAGAGCTTCTCTCTTTGCTTAAAGAGGATAAAACGGAGAGGTCCAACTGTTGACATACTGTATATTTTGTAACAAATGTTATATTTAGGATAACACTTTCTTAGTAAAGTACAGATTCTCGTACCTTTGTGGAGTCCCGTCCCGTCCGAGATACAAATGCCAGAGTGAGGCACATAATCGCCAGCACACAAAGTCAGCGAACTAACCCACTCAGCCACCGAGGCTTCCACAAAAATGAAAGTCCGACTGATAGTCTAGATCACGTACTTCTGAAAAAAATCCTAGACGGGACTCAACCAGAACGAGAATCTGTACTTTACTAAGAAAATGTTATCACAAATATAACATTTGTTACATTTGACCAATTTCGCAATGGCATTGTATAGTCATAGACTGTATATTAACAACAGAAGGTGTTTCCCTGGTGAGAATCCGTTTGAAGATTCGAGACAGTCGATGTGGTCACTCAGACCTTCGTATGCCAATGTATTTAAACATTCCCAAGATAGACAACCACACAAAACGCGACGAATCAAAGAGCGTGACATTACACATCTCTAGGCATAAATGAGGGAGAGAGAGAGAGAGAGAGAGAGAGAGAGAGAGAGAGAGAGAGAGAGAGAGAGAGATGTTTATTATAGTGTCACATGTTATATACACTTCATACTAAAACACGTACACGAACAGTAAAATATAACATCCGACCAGGTATGGCCTACGAAACACTTAGACATAAAAGCAAATTATAACATCATGATCTGGGTAAGGTAAAATAAGACATATACTAACACAATGTTTAAAATTAAGGTTGGGTTATGAACACGCAGGCTCGCACGCACACGCACACACACACGCCAAATTACTTATAAAGTCACGCACACTATCATACACAAACACGTAGGTACCCCCCACCCCCCCCCCCCCCCCCCACCCCCACCCCCCCACCCCACCATACCACGTACACACGCACACACACACGCACACGCACAAGTACACGCACACACAAACACACGCACTCACACACACATACCATACGTACATTATACCATACACACGCACACACACACACACACACACACGCACACACACCATACGTACATTATACGGTTTGAAATCTAGATGACATATTTCTGAATTTACTACTTGTATTACAAACTATGAAATGTTATGTTTTGTTGTATTGACATTCCTGGATATGCAAAGTTTTATAAACCTCGTGTTACAAATTCTTAGAAAATAAAGATCCGGGGTAGAATAGGTCTTCAGCAACCCATGCTTGCCGTAAAAGGCGACTATGCTTGTCGTAAGAGGCGACTACCGGAATCGGGTGGTCAGGCTCCCTGACTTGGTTGATGCATGTTATCGTATCCCAATTGCGTGAATCGATGATGCCAATCACTGGATTGTCTGTTCCAGACTTGATTATTTACAGCTGTCATATAGATGGAATATTGCTGAGTGCAGCGTCAAACAACAAAAAAACACAAAAAAACACTTCTGTTTGTGATTATAGTGTGCTGTATTTCCCCACTACTGTTTGTGATTATAGTTCGCTGTGTTTCCCCTCTGCTGTTTGTGATTATAGTTTGCTGTTTTCCCAAATGCTGTTTGTGATTATAGCGTGCTGTGTTTCCCCACTGCTGTTTATGATAACAGTAAACTGTGTGTTTCACCATTGCTGTTTGTGACTATAGTGTTCTGTGTTTCCCCACTGCTGTTTGTGACTATAGTGTGCTGTGTTTCCCCTCTTTTGTTTGTGATTATAGTTCGCTGTTTTCCCAAATGCTGTTAGTGATTATAGCGTGCTGTGTTTCCCCACTGCTGTTTATGATAACAGTGAACTGTGTGTTTCACCATTGCTGTTTGTGACCATAGTGTGCTGTGTGTCCCCACTGCCGTGTGTGATAATAGTGAACTGTGTGTTTCTCCACAGCTGTTTGTGAATATAGTGTGCTGTGTGTCCCCACTGCCGTGTGTGATAATAGTGAACTGTGTGTTTCTCCACTGCTGTTTGTGAATATAGTGTGCTGTGTTTCCCCACTGCCGTGTGTGATAATAGTGAACTGTGTGTTTCTCCACTGCTGTTTGTGAATATAGTGTACTGTGTTTCCCACTGCTGTTTGTGATTATAGTGTGCTGTGTTTCCCAACTGCTGTTTGTGAATATAGTGTGCTGTATTTTTCAGGGTGGCGGGAGTACTGTTCAGGCTGGATGCAGCTGCTGTGCTACTCCTACTTAAACTACGCCGCTCCCGTGTGTGGCAGCCAGACCAACGTCATCCATGTTGAACTCCTCACACACAATCACGGCCCAAGATTACTCAGCTTACTGAAAAGTAAAAAGAACCAGAAGTCTATTTTCTTTGTGGGCATTGGTATCCACGGGACCTATAATGAACAGCTGGTCTGGAAGAACTTTCTTTCTCCATCAATCAACTTTCTACACGAAAGCGCAAGAAATAAGATAGTATGGCCGAAACTGGTGTGGGTTTCCCCCCACGCTCCCGGAATACTGAAAACACCACGGGTTCCAGGCCAGAGTTACAGCAGCGTTGTCAGATATAACGCCTTCATCAACAGCCATGTCAGAGCAGCTGGGATACCAATACTGGACACCTTCAACATGACAGACGGCATCATGAGCTACGACGGGGCACACTACGGGTTCGGAATTAACATGATCAAATCTCAGATTGTGTTTAACTACCTTACACATCTGCGGGCACATGGCATATGGTGACTCAGCATAAAGTGTGAGTGTGTGCAGGCATGTGGCATGTGATGCATATTTAAGCAATAGGTGTATGCTGAGGGATTGTGTGGCTGAGTGAAATAGTCCTATTTTCTTTTTCATTTGTATACTCTTGGAGATTTTCACTGTTAATTTATTCATTATGTTAATTCATCATCTTTTCAATTGTTTGTACTAACTGAGTCAAAGCATTAGTATAGGATTAAACTATGTGATCTTTACATATACCAACACATACTTATTACTGTGATCAAGAGGTGGTCCAATACGGACTACAACAGTGAACAGTATTTCAGTCACCTGGATGAAAGAGGAAACATCAGAAACTTTTGAGAACTTTACTGAAACCATGCATCACCCTCACGGAAACCATGTATCACCCTCACGGAAACCATGTATCACCCTCACAGAAACCATGCATCACCCTCACGGAAACCAAGCATCACCCTGATAGAAACCATGCATCACCCTCACTGAAACCATGTATCACCCTGAATGAAACCATGCATCACCCTCACGGAAACCATGTATCACCCTCACAGAAACCATGTATCACCCTCACAGAAACCATGCATCACCCTCACGGAAACCACGCATCACCCTCACGGAAACCATGTATCACCCTCACAGAAACCATGCATCACCCTCACGGAAACCATGTATCACCCTCACGGAAACCATGCATCACCCTCACTGAAACCATGCATCACCCTCACGGAAACCACGCATCACCCTCACGGAAACCATGTATCACCCTCACGGAAACCATGTATAACCCTAACGGAAACCATGCATCAACCTCACGGAAACCATGCATCACCCTCACGGAAACCATGTATCACCCTCACGGAAACCATGCATCACCCTTGCTGAAGCCATGCATCAACCTCGCAGAAACCACGCATCACCCTCACAGAAACCATGCATCGCCCTTACTGAAACTATGCATCAACCTCACAGAAACCAAGCATCGCCCTCACTGAAACTATGCATCAACCTCACAGAAACCATGTATCACCCTCACGGAAACCATGCATCACCCTCACGGAAACCATGTATCACCTTCACAGAAACCATGCATCACCCTCACAGAAACCATGTATCACCCTCACGGAAACCATCCATCACCCTCACTGAAACCATGTATCACGCTCACAGAAACCATGCATCACCCTCACGGAAACCATGCATCACCCTCACTGAAACCATGTATCACCCTCACGGAAACCACGCATCGCCCTCACGGAAACCATGTATCATCCTCACGGAAACCATGCATCACCCTCACAGAAACCATGCATCACCCTCAGTGAAACCATGCATCACCCTGACAGAAACCATGAATCACCCTCACTGAAACCACGCATCACCCTCAGTGAAACCATGCATCACCCTTGCTGAAGCCATGCATCACCCTCACTGAAACCATGCATCACCCTCACGGAAACCACGCATCACCCTTGCTGAAGCCATGCATCAACCTCACAGAAACCACGCATCACCCTCAGTGAAACCATGCATCACCCTCACTGAAACTTTGCATCAACCTCACAGAAACCACGCATCACCCTCACAGAAACCATGCATCACCCTCAAAGAAACCACGCATCACCCTCACAGAAACCATGTATCACTTCACTGAAACCATGAATCACTTCACTGAAACCACGCATCATCCTGACTGAAACCCATACACATCCTGGTCACAGCTACACTCATAGGACCGATGGGAGTGTTCAGTCTTAACAACAGGCTTACATCCTGTTCAAAGCTGCACTCATAGGACCGATGGGAGTGTTCAGTCTTAACAACAGGTTTACATCCTGTTCACAGCTACAATCATAGGACCGATGGGAGTGTTCAGTCTTAACAACATGCTTACATCCTGTTCACAGCTATACTCATAGGACCGATGGGAGTGTTCAGTCTTAACAACAGGTTTACACCCTGTTCACAGCTACACTCATAGGACCGGTGGGAGTGTTCAGTCTGCACAACAGGCTTACATCCTGGTCACAGCTACACTCATAGGACCGGTGGGAGTGTTCAGTCTTAACAACAGGCTTACATCCTGTTCACAGCAACACTCATAGGACAGGTGGGAGTGTTCAGTCTGCACAACAGGTTTACATCCTGTTCACAGCTACACTCAGAAGACAGGTGGGAGCGTTCTGTCTGCACAACAGGCTTACATCCTGTTCACAGCTACACTCATAGGACCGATAGGAGTGTTCAGTCTTAACAACAGGTTTACATCCTGTTCACAGCTACACTCATAGGACCGATGGGAGTGTTCAGTCTTAACAACATGCTTACATCCTGTTCACAGCTACACTCATAGGACCGATGGGAGTGTTCAGTCTTAACAACAGGTTTACACCCTGTTTTCAGCTACACTCATAGGACCGATGGGAGTGTTCAGTCTTAACAACAGGCTTACATCCTGTTCAAAGCTACACTCATAGGACCGGTGGGAGTGTTCAGTCTTAACAACAGGTTTACATCCTGGTCACAGCTACACTCAGAAGACGGGTGGGAGTGTTCAGTCTGCACAACAGGCTTACATCCTGGTCACAGCTACACTCATAAGACCGATGGGAGTGTTCAGTCTTAACAACAGGCTTACATCCTGGTCACAGCTACACTCAGAAGACCGGTGGGAGTGTTCAGTCTTAACAACAGGCTTACATCCTGTTCACAGCTACACTCATAGGACCGATGGGAGTGTTCAGTCTTAACAACAGGTTTACATCCTGTTCACAGCTACACTCATAGGACCGATGGTAGTGTTCAGTCTTAACAACAGGTTTACACCCTGGTCACAGCTACACTCATAAGACCGATGGGAGTGTTCAGTCTTAACAACAGGCTTACATCCTGTTCACAGCTACACTCAGAAGACCGGTGGGAGTGTTCAGTCTGCATCACAGGCTTACATCCTGGTCACAGCTACACTCATAGGACCGGTGGGAGTGTTCAGTCTGCATAACAGGTTTACATCCTGTTCACAGCTACACTCATAGGACCGGTGGGAGTGTTCAGTCTTAACAACAGGCTTACATCCTGTTCACAGCTACACTCATAGGGCCGGTGAGAGTGTTCAGTCTTAACAACATGCTTACATCCTGTTCACAGCTACACTGATAGGACCGATCGGATTGTTCAGTCTTAACAACAGGTTTACACTCTGTTCACAGCTACACTCATAGGACCGATGGGAGTGTTCAGTCTTAACAACAGGCTTACATCCTGGTCACAGGTACACACATAGGACCGGTGGGAGTGTTCAGTCTGCACAACAGGCTTACATCCTGGTCACAGCTACACTCATAAGACCGATAGGAGTGTTCAGTCTTAACAACAGGCTTACATCCTGGTCACAGCTATACTCAGAAGACCGGTGGGAGTGTTCAGTCTTAACAACAGGCTTACATCCTGGTCACAGCTACGCACATAGGACCGGTGGGAGTGTTCAGTCTTAACAACAGCCTTACATCCTGGTCACAGCTACACACATAGGACCGGTGGGAGTGTTCAGTCTGCACAACAGGCTTACATCCTGGTCACAGCTACACTCATAAGACCGATGGGAGTGTTCAGTCTGCACAACAGGCTTACATCCTGGTCACAGCTACACACATAGGACCGATGGGAGTGTTCAGTCTTACCAACAGGCTTACATCCTGGTGACAGCTACACTGAGAAGACCGATGGGAGTGTTCAGTCTGCACAACAGGCTTACATCCTGGTCACAGCTACACACATAGGACCGGTGGGAGTGTTCAGTCTGCACAACAGGCTTACATCCTGGTCACAGCTACACACATAGGACCGATGGGAGTGTTCAGTCTTAACAACAGGTTTACATCCTGTTCACAGCTACACACATAGGACCGATGGGAGTGTTCAGTCTTAACAACAGGCTTACATCCTGTTCACAGCTACACTCATAGGACCGATGGGAATGTTGAGTCTGCAGAACAGGCTTACATCCTGTTCACAGCTACACTTAGAAGACCGGTGGGAGTGTTCAGTCTTAACAACAGGCTTACATCTTGTTCACAGCTACACTCATAGGACCGATGGGAGTGTTCAGTCTTAACAACAGGTTTACATCCTGGTCACAGCTACACTCAGAAGACGGGTGGGAGTGTTCAGTCTGCACAACAGGCTTACATCCTGGTCACAGCTACACACATAGGACCGATGGGAGTGTTCAGTCTTAACAACAGGCTTACATCCTGTTCACAGCTACACTCATAAGACCGATGGGAATGTTGAGTCTGCAGAACAGGCTTACATCCTGTTCACAGCTACACTTAGAAGACCGGTGGGAGTGTTCAGTCTTAACAACAGGCTTACATCTTGTTCACAGCTACACTCATAGGACCGATGGGAGTGTTCAGTCTTAACAACAGGTTTACATCCTGGTCACAGCTACACTCAGAAGACGGGTCTGAGTGTTCAGTCTGCACAACAGGCTTACATCCTGGTCACAGCTACACACATAGGACCGATGGGAGTGTTCAGTCTTAACAACAGGTTTACATCCTGTTCACAGCTACACTCATAGGACCGATGGGAGTGTTCAGTCTTAACAACAGGCTTACATCCTGTTCACAGCTACACTGATAGGACCGATGGGAGTGTTGAGTCTGCAGAACAGGCTTACATCCTGTTCACAGCTACACTTAGAAGACCGGTGGGAGTGTTCAGTCTTAACAACAGGCTTACATCCTGGTCATTGCTACACTCATAGGACCGATTGGAGTGTTCAGTCTTAACAACAGGCTTACATCCTGTTCACAGCTACACTAATAGGACCGATGGGATTGTTCAGTCTGAACAACAGGTTTACACCCTGTTCACAGCTACACTCATAGGACCGATGGGAGTGTTGTCTTAACAACAGGCTTACATCCTGGTCACAGCTACACACATAGGACCGGTGGGAGTGTTCAGTCTGCACAACAGGCTTACATCCTGGTCACAGCTACACTCATAAGACCGATGGGAGTGTTCAGTCTTAACAACAGGCTTACATCCTGGTCACAGCTACACTCAGAAGACCGGTGGGAGTGTTCAGTCTTAACAACCGGC